AAAACCTAGAAGAATATCACCATCATCATTTGTGATTAGAAAATTTTATTAAAATTTTTACACATTTTTTTATAATTTAGTGTATGTTATTCAATACATTTAATTTTAAAAAAAACTGTAATAAAATATACGCTTCATACCTGGATTAGTGGGATGGGTCCCTAACTGTACGTAGACTTATATTGCCGTTTACTTCCTAAAACCGCCGATGCTCTACGATTCTGAATTCTACAGCACTGTAAGACAACTAAACCAAGCAAAGGATGTTAAAAATGTTTCTCCATATTTCGTTAAAAAAAGTTTTTCATACAAACAACACGCCCCCCAAGAAAACCACTCCCCCCCACACTTTGGGAACCTCCGATCTATACAGCGAATCAGTCCATTTCGGTTTGCACCTTCATACCCCAGTGAGTGGCGTTTTTTTTTTTTAATTTTAAAGTTTCTAAATGCGTAGGATCTTTGTATCAAGACGGAACTTGCACCGAAGGACACAGAAGGGTATAAAAAATAATTTATGATTATTTGTCCATCAAAATAAGTGAGAGTTACACACGAAAGGCCAACACGAATTAAAAATAAGATGTTCTGGTTATGATATTGGTTTACAAGTTTTAAGCCGGATACCAGCGTTAAGAGATTTTGAGAATAAACAAAGTTAAGGAAGAGAGTAATTGAGAAAATAAGGACTAGAGAACTTTTATAAGGAATACGTTGATTTCAGAATAATCATAAATTTATTTTATACTATTGTAAAACTTAATAATTTTACTAATACCAGGGCTTGAAAGACAATTTTTAGGATATTTATTTATTTGTTCATTTTATATCAACACAAAATTATACAACGAAGTTTATTAATTTTACAACATGTATTTGGTTTCAATAATACCAATTTAAATTATGCAATTCGCTCGATGTAACAATGTCCCATACCTAACTTTGAAGTTAAACGCTCTAAACAAAATAGTATGAATTTGTTAGGAATTCTATGTGTGACATAATTTGGCGATTGTATCGTAGCCGAATCGTTTGTTACGTTACGTTATGCCAGTTGACCCCATGAACCAGAGTAACAAGACGCAGATAGAGGCTAGATCCCCGAGTGACGGACCTAAGTTCTCGTTCAAGAGTCCAATTCGCCTATTTCCTTCCCATTTCCTGATTCCTTGGGGCTCGCCACGGGATCTCGCACGGCTCAGTCAGCAATGAGCATCCGTAGAGTGAGGGGTTCGTTCCGCGATCCCAGTTCAGGGCGTCGGTTTGGGAACGTCGACGCCACCAGCCGCTTTCCCCGTCACTCCACTTGGATCTACCGGAATGAAGAATGGCATCTCCTTTACGGTCGGTACACGCATTCGCGTTTCATTTGTCTTCTCTCTTTTTCCCCTCTTTAGCAAAGGTGAACTTCAAATTCAGTTACAAGAGGAAATGGACTTTGATTTGCAGATCTTGCTAGAAAATGTCTGTTTGCAAAAATTATGTGACTAACTCCTTGGAGCAGAGATTTTCTTCTGAAACTGACAGCGGGCCCAGTTTATCAAAATATTCCCTTCGTCTTTTAATTATTATTTTTTTACGTAAAACTGCGGGCAAAAACGCAAAATAGAATTTTAGAAAAATTTAACCAGTTAAAAATGTTATTAAGTGCATTTCCAATATTCTACTTTCATTACACTTTCTTTTTGTTTAGTGTCTGAAACCATGTTAAGAGTAACAAATCTATTATAAGCCGTATATTTTTAGATCAGAGTTTATCGACATTTTCCAAACAGAGGAACAAATCCACGCTTACTTATAGACTCGCCTCAAGGTTATAAATGAATAATTTTTTGGAAACTTTATGGAAATGTATTAAGAATGTTCCTATTATAAACAGGTTTATATATCACTCATTTTTTAAAAAAATAAATCAATCAGTGAGATATTTGGCTCTGTATTTGTTTGGATAATGTTTCTTTATCGAGATTAGTGTCTGTCAAGATTCGAAAGCATCTTCTCGATTTCAAATTCTTCATTAAATTGTAAATTGCAGCCGCTGTCACAAAATATTTTCTTATATCACGGAAATATTCTTCATCGTACAGATTGACGCAGTCGGCATGTTATAAAAAAATATACGCGGACCGCACACTTCGGAACACTCCATGAGGCCTGGGGGCCACGATTTGAGAACATTGATTCTCGATATCGACTTCTGAAAAAAGAAATACCGCGCATTACAAGACTGAGGCTTTGTGGAAAATTGGAGATTGGGACAACTGCAGTAACTATTAAGAGCAATCTAAGCTTAAATAAGATTTCCATTCCCTCACTAAAAGCAATGAAATATGTACTACTATTTCATACAAAACATAAAAAGTGTTACAAACTGACGTCATATTTCTTAATCTGAAAGGAAGAAAACTGGTTTGAATTATATTGCAGCCCTTTCACTAACAAATGTGGATTTTCTGACGCTCAAATCGCTGTTTTCCACGGGTACAACAAATATAAACCATGGATATCATAAACCTTATAACTTATAGCAAAGCTAGAATACAGATAGATGATCGCAGACTCTTGAATCCACTTCTGGTGAGAAATTACTGTAGTATTTCGAATCATATTTTATAACATTACTACATCCTTTCATTGACTTTTAGATGTTTCACGATGCTGTTTCAACTGTATATGTTCTACAGGTGACTCCTAATACACGGGGGTTGCGTTCCTGCAAATCACCGCGTATGACGAAAACGCGTAAAACGAGAAACGTATAGAAATCGACGTTTTGATGTTAAAATGGGGCCAGAATTATTTGATGCTAAGCTTTATCTCCTTAATAAGTCTGGAGACGGTTCTACACAGGTAATAGGCTTTAAAATTTGGCCACGGTTAGGTTATTGATCTTCGTGAATGGCCTGCCGAATCTTCGTAACATTTTCGGGCGTTGTGCTCGAAGATGGTCGTCCAGAACGCTCGTCATCATCGACAGAGTTTCGGCCATTTTTAAAACGTGAATGCCACACAAAAGTTTGTGCACGACCCATTGCGGACTCCCCAAATGCTTGCTTTAGCATTTCATAGGTTTCCGTAGCCGTTTTGGCGAGTCTTTGGCAAAATTTGATGCACACGCCATTCCGAAATCGCAGGAGGGTCGGTGTAATGCACTACCAAAACGCCCGTAACTAAGAAACAAATACTAATTCGATGATGCCGGCTGGCACACTGATTCACTATGAATGTCGGCCGCACCCCCTAGCGGCAGAAGCTCGTACTACATCCGGTTCGCCCTCTACTGACACAGTCTTTAAACTTTCCGATCGCACCTCGTATGTGAGGAATTTGAAAGGAGGTGGTCATGGCCTATTTAAAGGTAGTATCCTAGCAACTACTGAACGCGAGAGAGAGAAATATCTTAACGTTAAGATGTGGCCATTCGTTAACGCCCCTGACAGAACCAAGTCTTCTTCAAAGTTGCACGATTTGTCAAAAATGTTTCCAATAACCTTTTAACGTTTCATAACAACTTCAGCTGTGTTAAGGCTTGTTGACTGAGATAACGATGTCTTATTTTCTTTAGCGTCTTCATCAATTGCACTAGAAGGGGATTACGTCTTTCGAATGTAATGGAATATAGACTTACACTTCTGTAAAATAAGACATTTACAAATACTTCATTTTAAAGTCTTTTAAACAATCATATAAGAATAAGTTGTGGTGATATTTTCTATCTTGTGGAACATGATCGTAGTTAAATAGTCAGTATTACAACAGAGACAGAATTCCAGTGAAATTTGTCGCTTTATACCAGAATGTTCTATAACTTGGCAGGGAATAGTAATGGATCATAAATCCATGTAACTACAGAACGCTAGAAAATAACAATTCTAATGACTTAATGCGCGTTGCTCGGGGCAATTTTATTGGCTACGCTCATTTGATGAAACGTATCACAGAAATACAAACATTTTATGGGAACATTTCGGATTACAGCCTTACTTTGCATTACACATTCTGGTATTCGTTACGCTTTCGTTGATATCTCCAGCTGCACGTTGAAATGTGGTAAGGAGATACAACTGCAAGCCATATTTTATAGGACACTTACTTTGTTCTGTGAGGCAAGTCTCACGCTGTGTGTGTGTTTGTCCCCTATAAGAAACTTAAAACAATTCAACTTAGCTTTAAAGTTACCTCTGAGAAGATAATCATTTCAATTAGCAGACAAACCCATTTTTCTCACAATAAAATATTACGTCATTTCTTCGCCACGGTGGTCTAGCGGTTAGAACGCTGGCCTCGGGTTCGATTCCCGGCGGTGCCCGAATTTATAACTTGTGTTGGGCAAGGCCGTGGTCTAGGCAACACGGAGTTTTCCTCCGGGGGCTTCCCCGGTTTCTCCGTGGTATCCCAACACACACAGAAGAAGGCAATGGCAAACCACTTCTGGATCATCTGCCAAGAACGTATATGAACAGGTCCCAGTCCGAGAAAAGGATGGAAGGATCCTGTTCATATGGACCTGTCATCAGACAGAACACTAAATAA